AACAGGCATTATTAGCTACTGAACAGTAGTGTGTTTTGGATCATTGCAAAAACAACATAGAGGGCTGAACTTTTCATTCGCACATTAAGACTAATGAAGAATTATGATGAACTGATTTGTATCTTTCTAAATTGGCTGAATTACAAGTTTTAATCGATTCAAAGGTTTTCAAATAATTAACTTAGACTTATTAAGAATTTGGGGTTTTCAAATGTACATAAGTGTTGGACAAGCTTGCATTTAACATATGCAATGAGTGAGTGATATGTGGGTATCCTATGTAAATTAACCCCCCATGTGCTTTTGTTTCTCGTGCCTCCTTCGTGTACAGTATTAGTTCTGTAATCAGCCCCGCTGGAGAGAAGTTTGTGCAGGCAAAGTAGCAGAGGGGAAAGAGGGGAGGGAAGGAAGGGCGAATCTCTTTCTACTTTCCGCCTCGGCGTTTGAAGTCTAAAATCTTTTGCAGGGTTTTAAACATCTGTTTCCAAACTGCCAGCAGCCACTAATTAGGGCTAAAAACAAGACGGGACGCCGTGAGAACCCTGGGGTGGGCATGAGGCGACATGCACACCCCGCTAAAAAACCACCGCATTCCTCTGCTTAAAGACTACTTCTCTGTGAGGAGTGGGGGTGGCAGAGGCGGTGTGCAGGTCGGTGGGAGGAAAGAGATACGGGAAGGGTAGGCATTATTTTGAGGCCCCACCTGTCAATGTTTTTTGTTTGATTCTAGGGGCCATGTGTGTGTTTGTGTGTGTGTGTGTTCGTCAGTGTGTGTGTTCAACTCAAGGTCTTAGAGGGGTTTTGTTGCGGTTTTTATATTATTTGAAGTCATCAAGGCGCGTGGTATTTTACAGTACAACAGCTATGCAATGACTCACTCTACCTTCTGTCTCTCCCTCACTTTTTCTCTTCTTCAGTTTCCTCTCTCTCTGCCTGTTTCCCTCTTCTTTTTGTTCTTTCTTTCACTCCATCCATTGATAGCGTCTGCACCATTGTCAACCACATCCCTCTAAGCAAGTCCATATAAACAATGGTATGTTATTGTGCAGATAGCTCAAAAAGTCCCTTAATCTTGATACCCAGATAAATGATAATGCTAAAGATTTCAGCTATCAGATTCATCACTGATGGCAAAAGCAATCATCTCCAATGACAGCTCTAATCTCTTAAATGATGATGGCTATGAGTCAAAGTTTCTCTTGTTTGATGGATGATGAAGTCTGCTTGGCTTGAACTCTGCAGCCTGCCACACTGAAAACATTTTCTTTATGAAACGTGAGAGACACTATTGATCCTTTCTACAGTATAACCTTCTGAAAAGATCAAACTGTCTATTTAATTAAATCCCAGTTTTTGAGTTGAGTTGAGTTTTTGCTTTTCTCAGAGTTTGAAGTTTTTTTTTTGTTTTTTTTTTAATATAAACCGAATTGATTAAAGATGTCCCCAAGTGACTTACAAAGCAAACCAGACCATCAGTGTGAGGATTTTTTTCAATACAACAATTTTTAATGAATGCCTGTCACTGCTAAAACTGGACATGATTCCAACAAAGCAAATAGTGTGCATATAGACCAGAAGAGTCAATTTTCTGCCTTGATAACAACACTTCATCTACAAAATGACCAACATCAACCAGGACATGTTAGCTGAGGGCAAAACATAATGTACAAGTTGAGAAGCTTTTACCTTCACTATTAATTTGACAAAGTCACAAATAACTCTTCCCTGAAAAAAGAAATGACAGGATTATAATTTGTCTCTCACGGGTTACATTTGACCTTTTTCATGTTGAGCCAAATCGAGAGATTTTAGTTACAAAGCTTCAGATCATCACAGAACATTTCTATATAGAGCCAGTCATCCCTCTTTGCAATATTATTAACAAAGATTTAACAATAATCTAAATCCAGACCTTCACTGTATTCACAAGAGATGAGGTTTCAGCGTCTCTCCTGACGGCATATACAGTAATGAAACAAAACAAGAAAGGACTCAAACAGGTTGAAACCTCGGATGCTTTAGATGTGCTATAATGACCTCTAGGGCTTCAACATTTTGGCTGCATGTGGCCTCAGGAGGTACAGTAGACAGAGTAAAAAACAACTTGCATGACGCCACAGTGTGACCCTGCCTATTGACCAAGTCTCAAGACCTCACTTTACATCCAAACAAAAAAGCGGAGGACCCAATAGATTTCTCTCCCTTGTATTAAACAGTCACACATGCTACACAGCCCCCCACCCAAAGTGTACTCCCAAATCCACATCACTGATTGGAATATATGTCATCAGTTCTACATCTATGACTTCTTCTACCATTACAGCTACTGCAGGGAGTCCAGCTGTTGTTGAGTCCAGATGACGCGCTTCACATTTGTGTTTTGACTGCATAATCAAGGAAACCAAAAGTAAACTGATGGAAAGATACAGGCCCAAATTACTCAACAGGAAACGAGGAACAATGAGCAATTTACGGCCGCTTCTTGTCTCTGTTCCACCACAGAGCTGGATATTGTTAAGGCTTTATCACTGTCATTTACATCTCTCTCTCCCATTGCCCCAGGCAGCAAACTCTGAAGGAATGAGAAGTCAAAAGAAATTAGAAATAATACCAAGATTCGACTTGAGAAAACAACACAAGTTATTTTACTTAATTTGAAGAGGATTGGGAAGGTCGATTAGTAATATCACTCTGAAATATTTTGTTTGGCACTTTCACAGTCAAAAATATCCCAATATACAACTGTAACAATCATCATTGATGCTGCTTATCACTACGTACAATGTCCTTAAAAATATGAGAACCTTCTCGATAAACAGAAGAAGTCAACTTATACTGTAACTGGAAAGGTAAACATGAGTACAGAAAAAGCCTCTTGGTACTGAATTCAGTTCCTCTACTCGGACATCAAGACTGATCACACAGATCAATAAATGAAAGAATACAGTGAGCAAATGACCATCGTCCTAACAACACAATGGGTACAAACTTTCGCGATCTGTCTAGGAGATATTGACTGATCGGTAAGTTCTTCAAGTCCTGAGAGCTGGGGAAGTTACTGAAGTTTCCCCGAAGAAACAACAAGACAATGCAAAGCCAAAACAATACAAGATGTAACACAAGTAACAAGGAAAATGAATCAAGCTATCTACCTACCACACCTGTGGATCTGCAAGCTCTACCATAAATCTGAAAAAAAAATCACGAATATAACTTATAAACCATCAAAAGAATAATTTGCACCAGAGCTTTTTTTCCCTTCTTTATCAACAATCTAAAACATCACTCATAACTTGGGATCATTATCAGGTTGTACTGAAAATCAAAGTCAAATAAAGTTGAAAGCTACTCCAGACATCTGTATCTATTACTGTTTCCTACAGGTTGTTTATTAAGGTAACCACAATGCAAAAAGGTGAATCATAATGGGAATTCCCTCTGTGGTGGCAGGAACAAATACACATTGTTCCTCTCTGTGGTTTGTACTGAGATAGATTACATTGTGAAGGTTTTCTCTCAACAGTAAAATACACAAGATGAAATTGAGTGATGATTGATTGTTTGGTGATTTGAAACTATGGTTTGAAACTGTATTTCCCAGATTAAGCTTAAATAAAAAATACTAATAAAGAAATAAAAATTGACTTTTCTAATATTTATTCTTTTTTTTGTTTGTTTTGAGTCAAAAAATCACTTATGACAGAAAAGCCTAGCAACAAAACTATGTGAGACAGTAACTGTATTTATTAAAGCTGCTGACCCTCGGATGACCACATATCAATTTTCCTCCTTTTACATGAAAACCAGAATTAAATACAAAACAAAACAGCTTTTTATTATGTGTCTTTACTACACTAAAATACTTTTTAAATACTTCCTCTTTAGAAATAATTATCCTCTTTGCCCTGCAACAAAAATGAAATGTTTCCAATTGGACCCCAGTAGCTCATCTGTGTTCACAAAGAATATATAATAACAATAAGCTTACAAATTCTGATTTGAAACAAATTGTAGCAGAATTCTTGTTAGATAAAAACAGTAATATAATGACTCCATAAACAACTGACTCCCTGTGTTTGTGTAAAGGCTTCAAAACAAGGCTCAGTGGTATGAAGAGAGCTTGGAGTTAGCTCTTATATCATAAAACTTCTATGATAACTGTTCTGTGTCCATCGTCCAAGAAACAAACAAAAAACAAATCCTAATATAACATAATATGAACTGCAGAGAAACCATTACTGAAGGTGCAGCTTAAGCAACACACACACAGACAGATGCACACACGCACAGACTTTTGCAGCAACAAAAAAAACTGTGTTACACGGTTGACCTCACCACTACAACCAGATTGGGTTTTGCACTGCAGCATTATTATTGGCCCAGCAGAACTCGACCCACCCAACCCTCCACCTGTTTTTATGGTGTCAAATGTTTTTCTTTTCGAAATTATATTAACGATTGTGAAATATTTTTATTCATAGCACGAGTCACTTAGTGTGTTGTGAGTCAGCTTAATCAAAGTCGGCCTTAATGCACTTCGTGATATGTGTTAAAAACAATTGCAACTTTTTTTCCCAACTACAGTTTGTAATCAACTTGAATTCCAACTCCAAGTTGATGACCACATCAGTTATTTTTCATACGAACCCACATGACACCTAACAACTGAAAAGTGGTAGACTTAACTTGATGAGTAAAAGTTGGAGATAGAGTTTCTCTTAAATTTGGGGGGAAAGCCAAAAATGGAAGGCAGATTTTTTAGTTTTCCAAAAATGGAATCAAAGCCATCAGACATAGAAGCTGGAGTAGAAACAAACACAATGAAGAACGTTAGTATGACAAATTTGGGCCCTTTGAATGTGTCTGATTTGAAAGGATCCTCTGAAAAGAAAACCAAAAAGGAAGATTGCAATGGAAAAATATAAAAACAAAGTCACAAACTAGGAGGAACACAAACACATGCATTCAAATATCCACAACCTCCCACTTTGGACACTCACCTGTCTCCCAACTCTGTTATTATGTAGCCTCATACGGGCGTGGATGTCCTTGTAGGTTTCACGGGCATCCAAGAAGTCCCTCGAGAACTTCTCACCGAATTCCACATCCGGGCTGCAGCCCCCCCACTCCCAGGAGTCTTGGGGTCCCGGCAGTTCAGCCGGGAAGTGCTCCATGACGCCGTGTACCATCCCCTTCCCTCTGTGGATGGCCTCCAGCTGCAGTCGGTGCAGTTTAATGCGAAAGGCCTCCTCGTCCCCACGCCGCTTCTCATCGCAGCTGCACGCTTTCAGTTTGCCCATGGAGCAGGCGTTGGCCACCGCGTGCACCACGCCCGCTGCTGCGATGGCATATGCAAAGGCGCTCTCTCTGAAACCTGTTGGAATACAGTACATGATAGTTGGGTAATTCATGTGATATGGAGAAGAAGAAGGTTTTTAAAAAGGCAATTACCTAGAGGAAGATGGCATCTGAACTCTTTAAAGTGTCACTGTACTGTATATCACCCGCTTACCCCAAAATGACAAAAAGTATAAACCTGGATTGTGTCAACGTTCTGCAAGTGCCATGTTTCTTAAAGAAGCAGCTGTAGGGTCTAAAATACATATAAAATGCACATGTTTTCTATAACCTGGAGGCAGAACATATACAGTAATATGCATGTGTTGTGAACCTGTCAGGTAAAATGAGATAACCATGTACATAGAGGATGGAGAATTACATTCAAGATCACAATCAATACTAAGATTATTAGGACAAATGTAGTCCTCAGCATTGTTCGTGTATACAGCTTTAGTACATGTATTAAATCTCAGGACATCTTTAGTTGCTGTATTTTCTACTCTATACAGAAACAGAATGAGCAATAAACACATTCACTTCCAGTAAAGTAATGTTGTAAAACTTGTATATACATTATAGATGTATATATACATCTTGGATATTTGGATAATGATTATATAGCTAAAGCCAAGTTTCTAAAGAGTTTTAAACAAAAGCATCTTTTAAATCTAACTGTGGGCAAAATGTGTACAACACTTTGAGAGTTTGGACTTCTTCAGACACAACCATGCTGTAGTTAAGTAAAGTTTTGACTATTTTGATTAAGCCATGCATAAGAATTTATTCACACCTTTTTTTTTTTATAAACACACATGCTGAGACTCATATCACCTAAGGAAACATCTGGGACAATAGCAATTAAGTGTTCCAAACACTTGCGTATTTCGTCAGTGGGCCAGCTGAACATGAACAGACTCCCACCACTCCCATCACACAGAGAACTCACAGAGGACTCACACTCTGCACAAGCCGAGTCTCCCTCAGCCCCTTATGCTCATGAAGCAAGATATTATCAAGTTTTTTGTCTTGCAGTGAAAGTTTCGAACCCAAATATGTGTTACTGTAAGTGCATTTTTTTGTTTTGCTTGAACATGCTAATTAAGCCTTGATTGCCTTGTAATCACTTGAAAATGGCCCAGGCAGACTTCTGCATGTAGAGGAGGTGGTTAAATGACTGTGTGCATGTAATCCCTCTATACCATGTGTGACTGCTTTTCAGCTAAACACATCCCTTTCTCCTGGACAGCAAATCTCACTAGAGTGCAGCACATGTAATGAGTAAAACTCTACCGCAACCGATCTGTAATTCTGCAGACTAATGTTACAGTAGTCTTTTCCTATGTATACACACACGCGTAAACACACAAACACTTTCACTCTAGCCGTGCTAATATATATCGGTGCACACAATTCCATGTCTAATTGTGGAATCCGTGAATATTGACAGATAAGAGAGTGTGACAGCAGCACTTGCACTCGTAGCCTGTGCAACGTTTGTTGTGAGATCTCTGTGAGCCATGGTGCCCTCAGGGTCTATAAAAGTAGCCCCACTGGCAGTCACATACTGTAGTAGAAAACCTGAAGGTTATAATGGAAACTTGTAAAGAAAACATGAAAAGAAACCACTTAGGAGTTTATAGCACACAGCTTTAAGGGGAAATGTTTCAGGCTGCTCGTTGGGAGTCAAATAAAAATGCTATTAACTTGAACTGCCCCTTTTAGCACTGTTTGATGTTGCTTTTCTCGTTTATATGTTTAGGTAAACTCGATGTTATTTCGTTTTTAGGAAGATACGTTGTAAAGTTTGACACATTTGCTGCCATGCTGAACCTCTGTGCTTACTTCACTGGACACTTTAACATGTAGTTGAATCCGTAGTTGAACCATGCAACTGTGCTGCACGTTTTCAAATAATAGTTAGTCACCCTATAATCACTGTCACACAACTATATCTACCTACAATTATAAGAGCGCCTACATGATAAAGGTATTCGCCAACAATGTTACTCTAGGCTAGAGTTTATGGTTGCAATATGCAATTTTAAACAGAGCTAGCATGTCAGGGAAGCAGTGAAGTTCTAATCTTGTTCTGCCAAAGAGGTAAACTAGACTCAGAAATACTTTGTTTATCCTCTGGGGAAATTCATGAAAATGCATCGCAACGTCACCTGGAAACATTAACTCTAACAGGTCTTAGCAGTAATATCAAAATTCACAACATAATTAGACATAAGTCTCCTTGACATAATTCATGTTGAGTTCTTATACTATAGACCCAAATAGCTGATCGGTGCGCTTCAAGCGGAGGAACACATATGTGGTGTGCCAAAGTATGTGCTAAAACAAAGTGGCGTGCAAGCAGAAAAATAAAGTATGCCTAAAGTAAATCATAGATTTACCCAGACGTTGTTATTTAGCTTGGTTAAACTTGAAATTAGCTAAATAACATGTAGCAAACGACCCCGTCTTCATAGCCGTATAGCCTGTTAGGCATCTCCTGTGGCTAATACACTTACTTTTAAAGAGTACCTCATGCAAGCCCACTGCAGAAATACTGAACTATCCCTTTAAACTGCCAGCAAGACAGCCCCTTGTATAGGTTAGTCAAGCAGAGTCAGCTTAAAGTCGGCATGGAAGCTGCACAAACTATAAACTTGACATAGACATCGAGGTGTACAACTTGGTGCAACCAACAGATTTATGGCAAAGGCGTATCTGCATCGGGTCCTTAATTTGTCCACCTGTTGAATGTCCACATTTGAGTTCTCTAGGTCCCCACTAACTCTTTGGCTGCTTTGTGTTCCACTATACACAACACCTATTCACTTGTTTTGTCTGGTCATTTTTGTCTTGTGCTGGGGAAGTAGTGCTCACTGCGTTTATCAGAGCATCTTTATTTACTGAAAAGAGCTTCATGCTGCATTTGGAAACAGCCCAAGTGAGACTCAATCAAAACAGTAAAGCTGTATATTAATATCTGTATGGCACATAAAATTGAACAATGAGCTCTTGGATCTATTTGGAGACTATAAAACACATCATAGAGCTACTGTAAGGGGAAACTGCAGAGTCAGATAATTCTCAGTTGGTTTGTCACTGGTGACATCTCTTGTAGGGAAAAATGCAAGTAGTCATTTGTTCCAAAAGAAGGACAAATAATCAATATGCCATACCAACAAAAAAAAACAGAACCACCTTGTCCCACACAAGCATGGGGCATCGAAAGAGATGGCACTTAGGCCCACTTAGGACATCTTTATACATAGAAAGCCCGTTTTAGCTCTTTCCCTGCTCTGAGCTGAGCTCCGCACATAGGCCCCCGGAAGACTGGGTACAAATCAATCTAAGAAATAATTCACCGGCTGTGGCACGCCCCGCTGAACTGATGGCAGAGGAAGTGACAAAATGAATTAAAGATTGAAAGGAAACTGTCACTTTGTGTTACAGAAACCAACTAAACAGGTTTATGCTTTTGCCTCTGAGAGTTGGGAAAGTGCTGAGAGCAAATTCACAAGTACTCGCTGTGGCAAGGGAAGTAAAAGCATTAGGAGAAGCCCAGCGAGGGAGGACACAGTGACGGAGAAAGAGAAAAAAAAGAGGGAGAGATTCTCCTATTTCTGTCTATTCATGTCTTGCCTGATGTCCTCTTTAGCCCAGTTTTTAATGCAAGCTGAGCACGGGCCCATTAGATTTATCAGAATCCATCAGCAGAGAGATAACGTGGCAGAGCAAGACAGGCAAGCCACATCTAATGTAGTAAATAAAAACTAAAACAAACATTTGGTTTCTGTTAATAATATTATGAAGAGTTCAGTCTAGACTTGCTCTGCATGAGAAGAGCCCTCAGGTAACTTCTGATATGATTCGTGTAAACAGAACAGACTTGACTTGACTAGATGTAGAGCCCCTGATACGAGCTCAAAAAAGAAAATCCAAAGATTAGAGAAAGTCTGTCAGATTATTGAACAGGAGTTTTTAATGCCAAATAAGTCATTCACCTGAACCAGTTTTTCTCCATCGGTTTTGTGTCACTATGTAAATGTTGCTTCAAAGCCTTTCAAACACATACTGTACATAAACTCGTTGTTATGAAATATGAAGCAATGTGTGAGACTAGATTGTTTACTTTTATTACGTCAAGTAAATGGAAGCACGGCCCTTTTTTCAGTAGCTGCACGCGATAATAGCCCCGGCACGTTAACTTGTGTCAATTTTTTTTTCAGCAAGCGGAACATATCAGCATTTAACAGATGAATCACTGAGTTAAAGAGGTTGTTTATATCAGTGGTTTGGAGTTTCTGCACCCGGGGCAAACCAGGGATGCCAGACAACCAGCAACCGCCTCTACTAATAAAGACAAACAGCCTTTCAATGATTCAGTGAGGAGTGAAAGTAAGACCAGAGGTGTGTAAGCAAATACTGTAATTATTTTTTAAGGTTACACAAAAGAGATAGGAGATAAGGACCCTAATGAGTTTTACAAGAACTTATATTTCATTATTGGATTCGACGAAGATAAGATGAAGATCAAGAATGGCATCAGTTGTCGTTCCGATAATAAAATCTTATCTCATCTTACACATTTAATCAGTGTGTTTTACGATGACAGGAAATTCCCTTTCCAGTTTACTGCAAGTGGTTAAAGGATATTGAATAGTTTCTACACTGTGTGCTTCTACACATGTCAGTGCCCATTGGTCAGGCCAACAAACCTGACCAGCCCACCTTTGCATGCGCCCTGTTGGCTGAAATAGATATATGTGGATGTATTTGATTGGTTGTCTTTACCTTTTTGAATTCTTACACACTTTGTGCACCTATTTTATGCACTAATAATCAATCATTTCAATTGATATATTTCGGAGAAAGATGTCGCCAAGCCATTGCACTACAGTGCGATGCATACATTTGATATTCAAGAAGTATAATCGGAACCCTTTGCCCAACATCCCAACATGCCAATGTCATTTGAGTTAAATCAGTTTGCTCACAATTAGGACCTTTATTCATCTGCATCATCAAAAATGTTTACAAAGTTCTACTTACAATTTATATTGTTAGGAAACTCAGGTCAAGACATCACATTTTGCGCTGCTCTTGCATTCAGGCACTCTGGCTACTCATGAATGGATTCCTGTTTCAGTCATTAAACCGGGATGACTCCATCTAAAGGCTTGCTAACGAAGAAAGATCTTCTTTCAACCTTTTGTGGCTGGCTTGCAAAGAGCCTAGCACTACAAAGCGTCAGAGGAAACTGATCTGCATGAGTCTTGGTAATCTTGAGGTGACTAACCGCTTTTGAAGCTACCTGCTCTATTGTCAAGCTATTGAGAAGATACAGTAAGTAGGCTAGGTAGGGCATAGAGTCTGCTAGTCACTATCATCTAAACATTTGGAGGACTTCATTCACATCAGACGAGAGCTGTATCCAAGGGATGAAATGATCTCTTTAGATAATCTTTTGACTGTGTTTGGAGAAGAAAATCATACCAATGCTTGTTCAGGATGTTTAGGTATCTTTGTGCTAACTAATCTTACTAAGCTTTTCCTTTCAAGGTATTCTATCAAAGTGTGCTTGAGGATGAAACCACAGCGTGTTTGAAGACAGAACTTTTGAACTGATCAGAAGGTATCTAACCCTCACTTCCGAAAGGTGTTTAGTCATTTTCCCATTTTTGAAGTTAACATTTAGCAGCATTTGCTAAATTTGCATTCGCAAAAGATGCAGCACAGTCACAAAAAAGTAGATGTGACATGGATTGTTGTGCACCAACATGACTTCTTTCTGACCATAAGACTGACCTCTTTTGAAGACTATGCTGTCGTAGGGTATTTTGTTCCTGGTCTCCAGGCTGGAACAGTTCCAGCGGTGCCCTCTGAACTGGTGCTGGCACTCGTGGATGGCGATCTGGATTCCCTGGATTGCTGAAGCTGTCACATCCGGGTTACGCATGCACACCTCCAGCTGGCGACGCGTCAAACCCGGCAGAGTGAGACACACTGTGTTGGCATTCAGGATGGGGTCGATGTTGGGGAGCTTCAGGCCCAAGATCTCGTTGGAGTCTACCCTGCATGGAGCACACAGGTCGGGTTATTGAGGAGACAAACCTACAAGTCAGACATTTTGCTCCCTGTTCTTACACTTACTGCCACATCTTCAAACACTGTGCAAAAGCCACTATTCATTTTTTGAATATACTGAGTGTTGTTTGCTTTTGTCTTTTATCCTTTTGACTTAAATCTTTAATTATTTTATTTACATTTTCATTTTTTTTATCTCTTCTTTTGATGCTGGTCTGTTTGTGAAATACAAAATGTTGTCGCATTCAGAGACAATAAAGTATCTTATCTTGTCTTTTGACTTTTATGCTTCTGTTAAAACATTTTGTTTTGTTAAGTTGGATGTTAGCCCAAGTTTTTGAGATCCACATGGTCTGACTTGATGATCCAAACTCATGGTAGTACTGTAGATGAGATATTTTGGCAATTTGGTGGCAAGGGGTAGGAGCAGTCTCATTTTCTTTTCTTTCTGTTTTGATTCTAAAATGTCTTACCTAAAGCAAATGTTTACTCCCACAGAGTAAAAGACGACAGTCCGTTCGGTGATTCTAAAGGAATGCAGGTTCTTTAAGTATATCTATCAATACTTGTGGCATTGTGTTCCTGCGCTGAGTTTTAATAGGCTAAAGACTAGTTTTGTTTGATCTTCCCTTTGATGGTGACTAGATAATAGTTGTACAGTAAAACAGGTGAGTTGCAGTGGGGGTTGGAGCAACAGCTTCCACTTTGTTGGCACAGTTCCAACACATTTAGTAACAGTTTTGCAGAAAAATCCCCTCAGGGAATCCGTTACCATGTAAAGTCAGCGACTCTTTTGCTGTAAGGTGTGTCGCTGAACTCAACTGTCTGCTGCTTCTGTTGCAGATCAATCATGTGAACGACAGTAATTCAGCTGACAGCCGTCATAGCCCTTTTTTTTTGTATTCTTCACAGAGAAACAGTAACAACAGTAACAAAGAAAACACAGGTCTGCGCTGATGACGGTCTGAGAGGAAGCTTCTCTTTCAATATCATTACAACTCAAACACAGGTTCTCTCAGTGTGACTGAAACGCACATGCCAGGAGAATGCATGGCTGTGGGCACACACACATCTGTATGCACACATGCTGAAGCACACACTGCCAAGCACACACAAATACCAGGTGTAGGAAGGAGTGTACAGTAACACACACACACACACACACACTCACACACACACACAGACTCATACAGCTGCAGAAACTTTATCAACATGCGTAGCTTCTTTACTTTCTCTTCTGCAAGCCTCTTTATTAAATCAAAGAAACACATCCTGAAGTTCGCACACAAGTACCCCATGCTCCCTTCAGGAAAGCAGACAATAGCTTTTCACCTTAGTAACCACCAAAATAAAACATGCCATGACAATAATGACTGTCATGGTTGTGCTCTACTTTCCAGGTGGCATTAGCCTACATGTGTGCTTCTGTAATTTCCAGGACGGCTTCTGTTGCTACCTGTTGTGTTTCCTGCTTTTTAGAGTAAACCTGTTCCAACAACTGTCTTTCCAAAGGGTAACTTTCAGCTGATTGGCAACATTGTTTTGGAAAAAGCAGTGCATGGAGAGCAGATAACTGGAAAAACGCTGTAAACAAGTGTTTAAAAAGAAATTTTTTTGTTCTTAATTTGTAATTGTTCAGTTGTATATTTTAGCTTTCAGGACAAGTTAAGAAGAGTGTGAGTTATACAACTGTATTTGCATGAAAGAAAGCTGTCTGTAATGTTGCAAAAGTAGGTACAGTAACTAACTTATCTGTATTGCTTATGATGATTGAAATTAAATACAACAAAAGTTTTTTTTTTTAAATGTACACAAAGGATGTTTCCCCGTTTAAACTAACAAAGCTGAACTTTACGTTAAATTCTGTTTAAGTTATTCAACTCACCTTTTATCAGAGAGACAGATAACCACCAAGACGCATGTTATCCTGAAGACTGAATGTTCCATTTTGAGCGTTAAATTGACGGGGGGGAGGTGGGTGGGGGGGAATAAATTGAAAATATAAAGATGAAGATAAAAGTCCAATATTCCGCCTCAAAGTTTGGGAAGGACAAAAGAGAAGAGCAGGGTCAGGTCAGGTCCGGCTTAACGTTGGCTCGTGACTTGACAGCTCCGAGAATCTCGAGTCCAGATGTGGCAGCCAGCGGCGGGATACTCATTCAGAAAAAAAAAAAAAAAAAAAAAAAAAAAAAAAGTTTCATCAGCCCCTCAACTTAGTGAATGGAGGAGGTTGCTACAAGTTGGAGGAAAAGTCAGTGTTTGCTTTGTCAAACACATCCGTACACATCCCGGTATCTCCGCCAAAGGTCTTTGTATTGATAGAACATCCGTGAGAGAAGCTGAAGCACCAAAAGGCTCTAAATGAAGTCCGCCTGCCTGTGATGTTTCAGTGCGCACCGATAGTCCTCTAAACTAGTGCACTTAGCGCTTCGCCAGCCCACTTTTTTTTTTTTTTTTGCGTCACCCAGGGAGTATGGGGAGCGCCGAGGGAGGTCAAGTGGCTCGTTAAAGCAGGATAGAGATCCTTTTAGATAAGGGGAGCAGGAACACTTAGCCTGCGCCCTCCATAAGGGAGGACATTTGTGTTCACTGTACAGATGCTGAGGATGAGGATGAGGGGGATGAGCTCGACTTTAAGTTGCCGAACTTGAGATGATTATCGCTTTAGTAGCCTATTTCTTTCAGCGACAAGAAGAAGGTGATGGTGAAGACGATCATGGGAAAGAGAGGACAGAGGATGGGGAAAAAAACACTTTTTTTATTGTAACGTTTAAGGTAGAAAGTAAAGGGCTAAGGAAACCCAAACTCTGGATGCTCTGTAACTTTGATTTATAAAATCAGAGTTTTCTTCACAGTAGAACAGGACAGGATTATTTATAAAGCTTCAGAAAAGCAAAAGAAATCAGACGTAGACTTATATTGTTAAAAAAAGAACAATAAAAACCAGGATAAAACTCTTTAACATTGAATACAATGAGATGTTAAAATAAGCTTTAATCACGAAGACTATGTCAATTAAAGCAGCAGATTATGAAACAGTCCTACCTTGTTAATACAGTTTAGTACAGCCCTAAAAGTAAAAAAAATAAGTGCAATAAAGAAAAAAATAGCAATTTGATATCAATTTGATTTAAAAAGCACATTCCATTACAAGTAAGCTCAATGTGCTTTACAATCAGGGTAAAAAAGCGGGGTACAGAAATCTCATCAATAAGACATGCACCCAAACATCAAAAACATCACATAACACGCAGACACACGCAGACACACACACACACACACACACACACACACACACACACACGGGTTTTGAGTTCAGCTTTTAAAGAAGAGACAGTTGTGATGGACCGCAGGTCAACAGGTAGCTTGTTCCAGAGAGAAGGACCACAGTAATTAAAGCATAGGAAGTGTTACAGTAATAAAACCTGGTTGAAATGCATGTACTAACTTCTTGGTGTCAGTTTTGGAAATGAATTATCAGAGTTTTCATATGTGTTTTAAATTATTAAGATGTATATTTTCAAGAATACACATCTATTTTAAAAGTTTAAAAAAAAGTAATTTGGGGGTTTTTTTTGGAGGGGGAGGGGTTTATAAAGTCAGAGGTTTGTCTATGTGAGGGAAGTTTGGGCTCTGTGAGTATAGAAAAAGTATGAAGATAAATGAGAGCTTGTTAGAAGTGTCGGCTGAAAATCAAATTGTTGTCTAACTCGCCTGTGTGTCATAGCCTTTCATCTCTCAATTTAAATGGCTATAAAGTATCACAAGAAAGCTCCCTTGTTGATGAAGACCACATGATATCACTCATCTCAGTGCTTTATGAGTAGCTCAGAATAAAGATTCAGAGACCACAAATAAAAAGGCTTTCTCCCACCAGTGAAGAGAAGCAAACATTCTGCCAGCATGGAGTCACCAGAGCAGTAAAACACTACACGGGTTTAGCATTCAGACCTTATTAAGTTGCCATACACCAATGCAGAAGATCAGGGAAACAATACCACATCAAGTTTTCTCCCACAGCACCCCGATCTGGGAAATCTGGCAGCGACGGCAATTGTGTGCTTATTTCAAAGCTTGTACCGAACGCAGTGAGTGGACATGGTGGTTTTTGTGACTTTGAGTTTGGTTCTGCAGCAGAATGTGTTTCATGCCGTCATCCTGATCTGTCTGTCCCTTTTTCACAAGATATTAGCCGTCGTAGCCATTTACCGTCTAGCAGTTCCTTAGAAGCATGAGTCAAACATTTCTTTCCTGTCGGGACTAAGAGAATCAAAAAGAGCAGCAGAGAGGAACTTATTGTGTCTCTTTTGTGTCCCACTTTGGAAGTTCTTGGACCAAATCATTAAAATTTTAACTTTTTTTTCCTTTAGTCTGGAACGTGTCGCTGTTGGGGAGTATTTCTATGCCCCAGAGAGTCCAGGGTCTGGACCCAAGGTTAATAAAGCTATGGTTTTTAACATCTTTATGATAAAATCTGAGTTTAAAAGTTCTTACAGAATGATGTTTTTCATCAAATTGCAGAATATGTATGAGTCTAGGTGGTACTGTTAATCTTCATTGTTTTACTTAAATGTTACTTAAATTGTTTGATCCACAACTTTGCCCGGATCGTTTCATTGATGCTTCACCATCAATAAAAAACAACAACAGTTTTCTCTCTGGGTCATGTCTCTGGGTCAAATTGCAAACATTAGCTGCCACTGCTTGTTATACTGATAATTTATTTCTCTTTTCTTTTCTTTTTTTTTACTTGAGAGGAATGGTAGCTGTTCTTCAAAAAGTCACATACTAACTGTTTGTGAATTTCTGATGTGGTAAAGCAATAAAGTGTGACATGAATAAAAGTCTAATGAAAAGTATTTTCTGGTGGCAGTTTTATCCAATTAGCATGATCACTTTTTAGATTGTTTAATTCAAACTTTGTGACCGAATGAAAAACAATAAAGGGAAGGAGGTCAAAATCAGAAAAAGCTTCTTCTTTTTTTCTTACTTTGTCTATATGTCATGAAAAAACTATAACGGTTGTGATCATCATATTTGAAGTCTGAAATTATAGATTTCTCACTTACTTTGTGACTTAAGCAAATCTCATCTAATAGCCCCAGCTGTTTCTATTTAAGCATTACTCTCAAAATGTGTCAGGGGCGATGACTTTGAGCCCCACATGTGTTTTTGAGTGACAAATATAGTTCTCATCAGGCAACTGCACTTTTTATGTTGCATTTTCAATCTATGAACCTTTACCACATTATTCATAATGAAAGGGCATTGTACACACACACACACACACACACACACACATGTGCACATGATACTCATAATACACACACAACTTCCACATCTGGACTGAAGTCCTCTGCCAAGGGGTTTGGTGTGCTGTCTTACTCTCTTGCTCTCTTTTAGCTTTTAGTGTGTGTTTCTCTTTCCCCTCTCACACTCTCTCTTTCCCATTCTCTCTATCTGAGACACACACACACATACACACACCTTTAATTATTTCCCATTCTTCACCGGAGAGCTTGTTTCTGTTCAGTTACATTCATTAAAAATGATGTGGGAAACCTTTCAGTGCTAGTCTCAGTTCAACTTAACTCCTGTGTCTGGAGACAGAAACTTTATGTTTGTCAAACGCTCATGCCAGGTTCATTTCAGAGTTCTCTGTTTTATGCCTGATCTATTTTGTTTTAACATGATTTTTCCTGCAGCTATTGAAAACATTTATTAAATTTATCCTGCACTGCTCACTCTCCCTCACTCAGCTATATGAAATATGATCCTGCCAAACATTTAATTTAATAATAAACTAAAACACAGAGTTTTCCCAACAGCCCCGGTATTTTTATCGAGTCGCAGTGTCTGGTTCAATTGAAACTTTATTGTCCTGCAGGGAGAGACACGGCCGAGCTAAGTTTTCACAGTCTGGTGGCGAGTGCCATGTAAACAGATGAGGTCACACAGAATTTATGAATATGTAGTTTTTGCTCTTGTGCAGTAAGACCGTTAACTTTTAGTGTAGTAGTTTCATGGAACAGCAGTGATTTACTACAGAACATGTAAATATCAGATTTTATCTTTAAGCTTCTTTATGTATGCCTTCTGTCAGATAGATCCTGTTATAACAGTCATTAGTTCATGCTGGCCTCAAAACATAAATACAGTAAGTTTTAGGACTGGATTGAACATGATGGTCTTTAAAGCAGGCTCAACATTAAGTCACTTACATCACTTCTTACTATAATACTCCTACAATGCAAATTAGGGGTTTAAAACAGCAAGACACTTAATGTAAACCAGATATACGATTGGCTGTGTCTTTTGTGTGAAGTTTTTGAAACAAATCCCATTGTACCTGTTGTACAAATACCTATAAGACAAGTTTATGTTTCCCTAATGTTAAGGTACACATTGTACATGATAAAGAATTTTCTTTAAAATAAAAAAACGGGATAGTGATGTATTGACTTAAAGACATCTATCATTATTCAATTAAGTACATGTTCAATTTTTATTTAACTTTATATGTTAGTTAAGTACATGGGGATACGTCTTTTTAAGCAAGCGTGCATCAAATGAAGGACTTCAAAGATGCCATTTTCCAGTTTGACAACTATGGAGCACCTCCGGGGGACTGTATTCTTAGCACCGAGTGAAGTTTTCCTCTGGCTATTTTGGGCCCTACTAAGTATTTTAGTTTTTTGCTATATAAGTCTTTCACTGTTTTATTTACACAACTATAAACTTCTGTAAGATGTAAGAGAGCTGGCATTTTGCAAGACAGATACGTACAATCAAATATCATCAGCATAGAAATGGTTATTCAACATTTTGATGTGAGGTAATACTTCCAAGTGAAGATTCAAGATTTTTATTTGTCACATGCTCATACAGATGTGTAGTGAAATGTAATACGTGTGAGCACAAACAAAAACAAAATTGGTCCAAGAACG